AGACATAAAGCTCCTTATTTCTCCTTCTGAAAATGGTCTTTGTCGTTCTCTCATTAGATGGTAAAGATTATGCTCCTGGTAAGTCAAAGTCCAAAATCACGCAATAAGAAACAATGAGCAATTCATCAAACCATCAATCTCAGAAGACAATATTGTTTTCCAATAAAAAACAGGACAATGTTCCAATTCTAATTATGATCATTCACTAAGATTTTTTGTATCATAAGGAAAATAATATCTCGAAGAAAACGCAAGTTATACCCATAAACATGCACTCCCATTCATGCTAAACCATAACATGAATTCCAAATGGTACTAGCTAGCTTAGCCAATAAGGTGTCTAATAGTTGTTCAAGAAATCTAGGGATCAAATCAGACTGGCACAATGACCAGGATGATTCTTTTTTAATTTGAAGGGGTGGGGGTTCATAAAGGGGTAAAAGAAAATAAGATGAATAAACAATTAAACACATGTTACCTCCATTTGTGCCAAATTCAGTTTCATATTTTAAAAGGCAACAAATGACACATCGGTGAGCAAAAGCGACCTAAATCATGGTAAAAAAATCTAGAGAATGAAAAGCCTAACTCTAGAAATCCATATTTCTTAGAAACTGCTTTGTCTTTTTCAATCAGATACATCAAATAAGAAAATTTTCTGCCCTTGTTCAATTGTATTCACATAAACATCTTTCTGCTAGATCAAAGTTCCAACTATTAAGTCTGGCAATAGCTGTCTTACCTAACTTTAGTGAATGCAAAAACACTTCAAACCTGCAGTTTTCTTTTTGTCTTTCTGTAATACCTAAAAATCCCTTGAAGGTTGTAAACTAGAGACTACTACCCTCCCTACAACCTTGGTAGTTAGGAATCTTGATTTGCAGTTTATTACAATACCAAGAATCTATATCCATACTTAGCCCCAAAAATTTAGTTGACTGGCCTCTCAGCTTGTTAATAATAAATTATGTGAATTATGTATTACTTAATTTAGATATTATAAAAGAAAAACAGACTAGCTATGGTTTCATGTTCTCAATGGACCGTTATGTACAAACATCTGAAGAGGAGGTGTTAATACCCTGGCTTAACACATTGTTAGATAAAATATACAAAAAATAATTTAAAAAAATATATTAAAAATGGAAACAATAGCACCTACCATGTATTCAAAAATGAAGAATAGTTCATTGTTTTCCCTGACAACCTCCTTCAACTTTATAATATTGGGGTGATTCAATTTCCGAAGGGCCTGCAGATAATAAAGTTACTCTTACAGCTGTGGATATTACCTATAATCCAGGGAACTTGATTTCTTCAAACCCTTCCAGAAACTGTGCATTAGAATATTGTTCTGTGAATAAATACCTTAACTTCTCTTAAATTCATGCATTCTTCCCAAAAATAAAATTTCCTCTTCATTCTCTTGACAGCAACCTAGTAGCAGAAAACAACACAATCATAAAATATTCAAAAGAAAAAGAAAATGAAGATCATACTTTCTAACAACAGTTGCTACAATATCTATGAGCAAAAGTGAAACAATGGATATTTGAGATGCCAAAGTGAAACAATGGATATTTGCATTGTAGCTGTATTCATTATATCTATAATGTTTTCTGATAACATGTAGCTGTTTAGCTAATTTAGTTGTTTTTTAAGATTGAATGCCTTTTTCTCTTTTTTCCTTTCCCAGTGCAAAAGAAAAATAATCATTCACCAAGAAAGATACAGCTAATTTAATTGCACTTCATTGGAATGTTTTTAATAATGGCACAACATTAAATAACAATAGTATCGCATGTCCACAGTAAAATTAGTGATCTAATGCATGTGAGCAAGACTATATTTAACTCCAAAGGAAAATACAAAGTCATCATTGCATTGGTACTGACCAAGTTCTCCTTATAAGGAGACAGTTTGGTGACAGAGACTGATACGCAAGAAATTATTAAAAAGACAACAAGAACAATGAAAGTTAAAAAGCTATCCACAGAGAGAATTCCTTACAATTTCATAAGTTTCAACATTGAAAGCCTTATATACACTACCACAAGTACCATCTCCAAGTTCTTCCAAAATTTTATACCTATAGAAAAAATAAAAATAGAGAAACAGTATCAGCAAACATATGCAATAATCACAAAAGATAAACTTGACAATCTTGTGCAATTCAGAGCACTGACAGGCAACTCACCTTTCCATATTTTTTTATTTGTATCAAATGACAACAGAGTTTGTCAATGAACTTCTAATAACCTCCAAATAGAGGTGTCTACTCTATCGACACAATGTCGCACACTGGCTTGAATATGCTGTTTAGCGCTAAACTGTAGCTTGAAAAGTAAGATGTTGACAAGAATCCACTTTTCATTGTAAGAGTGATTGAATATCAGCCAAAAATTTATCAACATTCTTAAATGCAGCTTCTACAAGCTGCAATCAATTCGTATCATCTACAAAGAACCAGCCTATATGACCCCCACCAGAACACCAGCAGAAGCCCAATTTAATTTAGTGCAACAATCCATTTCCACTGAAGCCCATCTTTCAAAAACTAGGACAGAGCTGCAAAAACAGACCAAAAGTCAACAAACTGTAACAACCAAATTCTTCAGTATAGAAACAGAAGAAAAAAGGACAATTATGACAGATCTTTTATATCGTTTTTTTTTGCTTAATAAAATACAGAAATATGACCAAACAAAAATTTAGTTCCATTACATACAATGAAACATCGAATTATCACAAATAAAAATCTAGATAAGAATGAATATACAAAGGAATCCCTCCCTCCATTTGAACAACAAAAAATGGGAGAAGAAAATAACTTTTAAACAAGGAGGCCGTTTTTGACCGATTTCAGTGTAAGTTTCTGTTTTTTCAGTCTTCAAAAGATTATATATGGAAAGGATTAAAATTACGATAAAATCCATCTTAGCATAACTTAACAAAAACATCAATAAAAGAATGGATCTTTTACATCAGCAGATACCGGACATAGAAGTTCTATGATAAGCACGGGATGTAAGCCATCAAAAAGCCAATTCTAAAAATTAAAACCACAGATATTAAATCACAATCCACATCATCAACACTGACTTACAATTCAAGCACTTAACTTTCAGAAACAAAACACATAATTAACAAATCCAAATCCGAGAATTAAGAAAAAACTGCAGTAGAATATGAAACAATCTAACTATTTATATTAAAAAAAAAAAAAAAAAAAATCCTCAGCGGTTAAGCATAAATTCACTTCTTCACGTCTAAACAAATTGATCAAACCAATAAAAAAAGACAATTACGAAAAGACCGGAAGTAATCATCAATCAAATATAAATTCTCTATCTGCTGGCCAAGAAATTGAGGGAAAGAGTTAAAAAAAGAAAAAAAAAAAAAAAGAAAAAGAAAAAAGGACTTCAACACTTAACTAAGCCAAATTATATTACTATCTCCCTTTTGTTGTGGAAAAAAAATTCTTGTAAGCTAGAGCAACGGAAAATAAAAGTTCCTTTTTTCTCTCTCCATTTTCTCGGCAGGCAAACAAAGAAATTGAACAAAACTAAAACTTCAACTGCATTCCAATAAGCAAGTAAATAACAGCTGAGAAAACCAAAATCAAACCAGAATTCTACATAAACAAACTTAAACATTAAAAAAATTTAGAAATTAAAAAAAAAAAAAAAAAGATCGATTGAGATTGAGCTCACCATTGATGTTTAATAGATAAAATAAAAGATCCGAGGAACCAGAAGTAGATCACCAGTAATGTATAAGCAAATTCGTTCAAAACAAGAAAAAAAAATATAAAAAAATTATAAGGAGAGAAATTTAGATTACTGGTTAAGCCATGAGAGAGGATTCCGCAGAAGACGCGAAGGAGAAGAAACCAAATAAATTTGTATAATTTATTAAAATATTAAAACAAATTATTTTTAATTGGTTTTTAAATTGAAACGAAGAAATGCTTGGTTGTGGTGGGGAAGGGAGGTGGTCCCCACTGTGAAAAAATAGTATTTTGTTTGGAATGACAGAAATATCCTTCAACCACTAGGATATTACAGGAATTTTAATTGACGATATTAACCCGAAGAACTGGATAAGGACGACGCGTTGCTTATTGTAATTGGATGAAGCTGGGGGTATTTAAGGATTGGCGAGAAATGACATGTGGGTATTTTCGTCAATAAAATATTCTTTGGGTACCCTGAGTTATTGGTATGTAGTGTGGTTGATGCGGTCCAGATTACGGGTGATTGACCTGAAGCGCGTGACAATCGGGTCTGGATCCGAAGCGGATCGATTGGGAACCGGCTGCCAGTAACAAGGAAGTGCCAAACATTCGTGTGAGTTGGCACTTGTCAGCCAAATGTAATGAAATTGCTTACCTTTTACTGAAAAGTTTATGCGGATCTTTTAAAATTAATTTGTGAATTTGGTTACATGCATAAGTGAAATTCCTTTCTTCTTACAGAACAATTACGTGTATCTTTACGCGGATCGTTTGAAATTACTTGGTAAATTTGGTGATATGTAAGAAGTTGACCAAATTCTTGAATTGAAAGCATGAAGAGTGAAATAAGAGGAAAAAAATCCAACATAAGATTTGGGTCTAAATCTAAATTATGAAAATTTGGTTACATGTATCTTTCTATTTTGTGAATATATTCTCCATTGAATCATAAAATATGATGTTATCCAAAAGTTTCCATCCATATGTTTTTCTTTTATACTGTTTGTGTATTTTTATTTAAAAATTGATCCTAATCATCACCTAAAAATACATGGTTACAATTTCGTCTCAATAGAAAAAAGTGAGTGGCGTTGATAAGACAGTTTTTTTCCTCCTGAGATGAGAGTTTTTGCCATGAAGCAGAATAAGACGCAATCTCCCACTATGGCACCGTCCTTCAAACTCCAATATGAGGATTTGGTGGGGTGAAATGGACCTCACCATTCCTTTCTTTCTTAACAATTTGTTGGTTCGAAATGGAGCCAATACAAACCGTTTTATACCGTTAACAACAGTATTATCTTCTATCGATAACTCATCTTAGTTTCTCCAACAATCTCGTGAAACTAGAAGTGAACAAGCAAATGCTCAGAAAAAATTATGTCTATATTTACAACAAAAAAGATAATCCAGTTACAACAACAGTGCCATGGATTCTGTACTAGATAACTGGCCTCCCTCTGTAATGCATTTGATCAATTAGATTTTGAAGGTCAAGGCATTTGTCAGATTTATCTCCCTTCAACAGAAAATCAATATAAGGTAAGACTGCAGTTTTCTCCTCGATGCCACTGAATCTTAAGAGGTCAGAAACAAGCCTTTCAGCTTCTTCACTCCTTCCCTCATTATGAAGACCCTGAATCACTGAACAATAGGATGAAAAAGATGGAACAAATCCGCCATCGAGAATTGATGTCATGAACTTGAGGCAGTTATCATACTTACCCTCCTTGCAATACCACTCTATGATAAAACTAATTGCGATGTCAGGAAATGAACCAAGTTGCACAATATCTTTTGTTATACTATCTGCTTCAGCAATTCTCCCTGCTCTACATAGTTCTGCAGCTAAAAAGTTGTACAGATCAGTAATAGACCCACCGCATCTCGCAATCTTATCTCCGAGTCTCCGGGCATGTTCAATATCCATTTCCCTTATAACATTGTTGGAAACACATTTATCATCAACATCATCATTGTACTCCAACCGTAGTGGTCTAGCATCCACATGACTACTGGAACCATCACTTTGTACTTCAATAGCCTTGTTTGAAGAAATCAGCCCCTTTATTAGCGCAGAAAATATACGATCATTGAGTTGACAACCGTTAACAGCCATGATACTCACAATATTAAGGGCGTGGTCTAATCTACCAGCATTGACATGTGCTTTCACTAAAATAGTATATGTTATGTGGTTTGGAGATACTCCAAAATCAAACATTTTAAAGGTAAGCATCTGTGCCTCATTAAGTCTTCCACTTTGGCATAGTCCATTAATGATGACAGTGTATGTATAAACATTTGGGGGGCAGCCAGCTAAATTCATCATTTTTATCATGTTCAAGGCAAGGGAAAACTCACCAGCTCGGGAAAGCCCATCAATTAAAATTGTATAAGTCACCACAGAAGGAACTACACCATACTTCAGGATTTTTCCAAACATTGCATACTCCTCCTTCAACTTGTTTTCTTTGCTGAAAACATCAAGAAACAAGTTCAAAACATGAGAAGATTTCAAAACCATGATCTCAACCATCCTCTCGAAAATCATTAATGCATCTCCAGTTTTACCGCTTTTGCAAAGCCCATCAATAAGAGCAGTGATTGCCACTTCATCAAAAGGTATTCCCTTCTTTATCATCAAACCAAAGAACCCAGTTGCTAGCTCTGTCCTTCCTTGTTTGCAGAGCCCATTGATCATTGAAGTGAAAGTATAACCATCTGGAATAAGGCCGACTGAGCTCATTGAGTTAAATATTTTCAGAGCCATATCAAGTTGTCCTTCTCTGCAGAATCCATCCACCAGAATATTATAGGCTACTTTATCAGGAAATAAGCCATTATCAACTACCCTATGCAACAGGTGCATCGCTTTGTAAGATTTACTAATTCTACACAAACCTTCCATAAGCTCATTAAAGGTACGTATATTGGGCTTGCAGTTCCTTTTTTCCATCAGGGCAAGAAGCTCAAAAGCAGCAACAATCTGCCCTTGTTTGCAATACCCATTAATCAATACATTGTAAGTTACTATGCCAGGAAAGAGATCATATTGTAGCATCTCTCTAAACATCGCGTTAGCCTCCTCAATCTTCCCTTCTCTACACAATCTATCAATTAGAACAGTATAAGTATGAACATTTGGTTTACATCCCTTTACAACCATCTCATCAAGTAAACCTAATGCTTTATCAGTTAACGCAAAATCACACAACGCTTTAATAAGTACAGTGTACGTACGAGTACTTGGCTGACAACCCTTCTCAGACATTTCTTCCTTCAAAGAAAATGCTTCCTCAAGCCTGCCTACTTCACATAAACCATGTATCAGCGTCGAAAATGTGACTGAATTGGGTCTACAACCATCCTCTTTGGACATTATCTCAAACACCTTGAAGGCCTCCTGGAGATTATTTTCTCTGCAATGGCCCAACACAAAAGAAGTACAAATATGAGTACCTAAACTAAACCCAAGTTTCAGAACCCTACACAAGAACATTTCAGCAGCTTGCACAAGCCCACACTTGCATAAAGCATTAATTATGGTTCTATAATCAATAGCACCAATAACAAAACCATCAAGAACCATTCTTCTATATACTATATATGCTACAAAACCCAAATTCAACTTAGCTAAAGACATCAAAAGACCGCTATAACAAGGGTAATTAAGCTTAAACCCGTCCTTGCGTAATCCATCAAGGGCATCCATTAGCTTCAAAATGTCATCTTCATTCTCACTACACTCCTTAATCAATTCAACTATAGCCTTGTGCGCAACCCCAAATAAGTTAGAAGATACAACTAAATTCAATAAATGGACTCTGCCACCTATATCATAGCAATAAGTGGATTGCTTACAAACCCACTTGAAAAAACGGAAACCGAGGTCAGGGTTGTTACCTTGAAGAAGTACAACTTGGGAAGCAACGTTTGGAGTCATATGAGAAACTAGTAATTTAAGAAGGTTGTTTTGTTGCCAATTCTGTTTGTTAAGCAGAGTTGAAACGTTATAGACAATGTTGTGTGTTGTAGTTTCTGGGTCCTTGAGGATCTGAGAAGAAAAAAGAGAGATACACAAGCGCATGGTAGCGGATTGAAATACATGAAGTCTAATGGGCAGTCTTGTGAGTTTGGTCGGGTGTATCAACATGCAGCGAGTGAGAGGGACAGAAAGGAAACGACGTAGGATAACTATAAGATGAACATCAACTGTTGTGGTTGTGGGAAGGAGAATGCAGCAAGATAGAGAGTTTTTTTCTTTTGGCGGGTGATCGTGAATCGTGATTCGTGAAGTTTAAAAGTCAAAAAGAAAGAGATTGTTATGTAATAATCACCATACGTTTTCTTTTTAAATTTTCGTTTTGGGTTTGGGACATTAATATTTATGATAATATATACAGTATTTGTAAAGAAGCGCCTAACTTGATGACTGATGAAAGTAATTCTTAAATTTTCAAATTAGTGGTTTACAAACACTAAGAAAACAATAAACAGTATAAGCAAAACAAAAATCATACCCATGGAATATGAGCCTGTATTCTTTGTAAAAGAATCCATAGTTTTGACAATTAAAAGTATATATAACTTAATTTTATGAATCATATCATATATGATCTTTCTTCAATGCGATGTTGAACTTTGTCCCCCTGCTTTTGGAAGGCAAGACATGTTGCTCCAAATTTCTCTCCGTCAAAATGACGGACCAATAGAGTAGGATCCACTTTCCAGCAAGCGCGAAGCACACTCTTAGGAAAATAATATCTATTTCATTTCAGGATAATGAAACACATATTAAAACTGGTCAACTGAAGTCCTGGTAAGCCTCTACTCAGGAATATGAACATGGCTCTCAGATACCACTTTCAGGAAAAGTAGGGACTTGACAGCTTCGTTCAAACTCATTAAGAGTTTTGGTTCAATATTCCACGCAATGAAGAACCAGGTTCAACATAGATCATAGAATGTATAATTTTTTCCTCAAAATACAAAAGTCATCATTTACTTACAGTATCTTAAAATAAATAGCAATATAGAACATTAACATATCACATGCCATGTGTATATACTTCATACAAATCATCACAGAAGTGCATAAATAACTGCAATACCAAGCTAATTATATTCCCCTATGGTTCAACAATGATCTTCCCAGTAGCATGACCATCAATACTCTTGGCCCAAGCTTCTTCAGCTTTGCTGACGGGATGCTTTGAATCAATCACTGTCTTAAGCTTTCCTTCCTTCACTAACTCAACGAGAAAATCTAGGTTCTCCTTCTTGGCTATTAAGAGCAATGGAACAAGCTGCTTCTTGGAGAAGGTAAGTTTCGTCAAAGCAAAAGTCAACAGGGCTCTGGGTCCGGGAGTGATATCTATCACCTTCCCATTTGAGCTCAAATTCGGCTCAAATGTAGACCAGGGCATGGCTGATGCACAGTGGATCACTGCATCATATTTTCGACCAGATGGGCTCTTTAGAGCCGCTCCATCAGGGGTCTTGTAATCAAGAACCTCATCAGCCCCTAAACTCTTGACAAATTCAATGTTGCGCGCCCCACAAGTGGCAGTCACATGTGTGTTTCCAAGCTTTGCCAACTGAACAGCATAGTGGCCAACACCACCTGAGGCAGCAGTGATCAGAATGTTTGTCTCCTTACCACTTCCATCAAGCTTGATCCCAGCTGACTGAGTGAGGGCCTGGTGAGCAGTGAGACCAGCAACAGGTAAGCCAGCACCTTCAGCTGCAGAAACTTCTGGGGGCCTTCTAACTGTCAAGCTTTCCTTAGCCACAGCAAACTCAGCTAGTCCACCTCCAGTCTGTCATCAGGTAACAAAATATTCAAAACAGAAACAAAATGATTTATGAGATCTAAATGATCGATGTAGGATATAGTATAGGTGAATTATTAAATTGCCCAAGGTGTGCAATTTGCTCTATCTAAAACTGGAAAGCAGCGCCCATTTGCATCCACCCCCATGGTGCAACATCTCCTCTTAAGCCCAAATACACAATAAGATTGTATCTATTATATGTACACAAAAGAATTTAGAATGAGGGTAGCTATCCCTGACACGTCCACTTAGAACAGCATGAGGTTAAAAGCTTATTTTTTTTGGGGAAAATCAGATTCTAAATAAAAACAGGTAATGCTAAAAGTGAAGTTTGAAGGTAAAGCAGAGTAAACAGTCTGGTCAAAAAACCTAAACAATACAAAAGAAAAAATGATTACCACTGATTCTTTTTCAATGAACCAGAATCAGGAACGTAGATGATATGATGCTATCACCAGTTGTCCAAATCTTCACAATCCAAATTTCAATCTTAATTATTAACTAGTTGAAAAAGAACCTTGAAGATCAACTTAAACAATTCAAATTTGGATTGAAGACAAAAATGAAACCTAAAGAATATCAATGAGCACTTACGTGGGGGGTAAGAAAAGCTACAACTTTGTCACCGGCTTTGAAATCTTTAACTTCTGACCCTACCCCTATTACTTCCCCTGCTACATCAGTTGCTGTTCCAACAAAAGACCTCTTCAGCCAAAACAAATAGTAATAATACAATAATGTTAGATATACAAACAAATCTTACAAAGATTTGTGTACAAACTAATGTGATACAAAATGAGTAGAAGAATGAATACAAAAAGTCAAACTTATCATATTCACTCTTTTATTCATCTTATGCCACATCATTTTGTACACAAATCTTTGTAAGATTTGTTTGTACATATAACATTGCTCATAATAATAATAAAACAGCAGTTCATTGCTTCTCATCAATTACACTAAACATTGAAAAAACCAATACGGCACCAAAAGAAGTACCCATAGAAATCCAATAAACAAAACAAACAGAAAAGCCCAATTTTTCCTGATAGAAGACATCAAAAAATTTATATAGATAGGAAAATTTATAGAAGTGGATGATGTTTGCAAAGTGCCCAGCAGCTATACAAAAGCTAAAATACCTTATAAACCATACTCGTATACAATAGTCATATATCCAAACTCCAGAAAGAGAAAAGCCCAACTAATAGTTTGGGGATATCTATACAAATTTGGGGTTGGCAATGTTTCACTTAGACTTCAGTACAATATAAATGTTATACCAACAACTAAGTTTTCTTTAAAGGTTTATGATCCTGAGATGGCATAAACCCAAATGTCGTATGAGACAATGCACGTGTTTTATGATCAATTACGACTGACTGAAAATGAGAAGTGTAGCTGAAATAAGACTGATTTGCCCCAAGTCAAACAAAGCCGAAGAAAAAGAAATATAAATCAGAGACAGCACGCTACAACACAAAGCTTCCCAAAACTGTCATAGCAAGCACTGCATGTAGGGGTCTGGAAGGCTGAGGGGGTCTCAACTCTCAAATTCGATATTGTGTTGGTATTGAATTAAAACATAAGAAAAATCAAAATTTCAATAGAAAGCAAATTATACCATTTTGTTTCAGCAGATACTAAAACACTTAGTACGATCTTCAGTGACTCACTATAAAAAAACAGAAAAAGAAAAAATGATTACCATAATCCATATCATGGTTGAAGCACATCTAAGATACCTATATATATGAAGATACATAGCAGATGTATACAAGTTATCAAAGATCCACATCATAGGGAAATTGAGTTACCAGGTATGTAAGGAAATTTGCGAGGGAAAAGAGGCCGCAGCATGCCTTTCTGCATTTTCCAATCAACTGGATTTAGACTAGTTGCTTCCAGTTTCAGCAAAACCTCATCCTTTTTTGGAGAGGGAACTGGTACATCAACGTGCTGCAACAGGCATATATCTTTATCTTAATAATCAATTAAAGTAACACTGGATTTGGTGATAACACTCCCACGCTAAATCTATTACATATATCTGAAGGAGAAAATGGGTAAAACGTATTCACATATCCATACTTCAAATCAACCTTGAAACTTGTTTGACTGAGTTTTAAATTGGAAAGGTGTATTTTCTTTCATTCCGTTTCAGCAAACATTCAAAAATGATTAAAAAAATAAAAATTTTAAGATTGTTCACTAAAATGACCAACCATAAATTCCAAATGAAGTCTGCAACATCAGAATGAAGGTCAACTAAATGGCCCCATAAGAAAATCACTTGTGCCTTGTTTCAAGGTCAAGAAAGATAATTAATTTAATGAAACTCCTAACATCATTGCACAAGAACTACAAAAAGAGATTTACAGTGAAATGAATCTTCACTTCTGACTTAAGTTTAATACCCACTTTTTTCATTCTTGTTTCGTAACTCCACGAAATCAAACCGAAAAAACAAAATTAAACGCATACGTAGGTGGGATAAGAGCAAATTGAAATACAAATTGTTGGAAAAATAAATTTGAAGAAACCCGGATAAATACAAAGAAACAATATAATTAAAAAAAAAAAAAAAACCTTCAAGCCAGCGGGTCCCCCGCCATACGTATCATACTGAACGGCGTGCATGGTACGGTTTCCAGCCATTGCAACAGGTGATGAAGCGAGAGAGGCAGAGAGGGGCAAGAACGTGAACAACTATGGTAATCCACTAGAAGTAGGTTGAGCGCGTTTTCTAGTAAAATTAGAATACTCGGTGATGAAAATGACACATAGAAGCATCTACCGTCCTAGCCTTTAAAACGAAGAAAATAAATAATTGATGTTAATATCCAATTTCATTATTAAATAATAAATTAAGTAAAACGTTCTAGAGAACATACATTGGGAACACAAATATTTAACATTATTTTGAAGAGAAATCTAGATGTAGAAAGGTTTATGGATAATTCCATGAATCCATCCCTTTCACTTTCTATTATATTACCAACTCTCAAGGAGAACCGTAAATGCTTCTACCAATTAGCTGCTATATCGCTTTATAGTCAAATTCAGTTCTTATTCTTTTTTATCCTATTTAAAAGTCTCTGTTTTCTGATTTTCTCCTGAAAAAAATCAGAGATTTTCTATCTCTCATCTTTGGACAAAAACTGTGTAAATCATTACACGTTATGATACAAATATTAATTAAAATCTCAATTCACAATTAATTAAGCATTTTCGGTAAGATATCCTAATACATCGGCGTAGTTCTTTAACAAATCCGTAACAATTGTAGAAATCATTTCTGCAACTTCCTCAATGACCTCTGGAAAAGACTCCAGTAATCCATTAAGAGAACCCTTTGTTTTTCCCACCAAATCTCCAATACCTGACCGAACTGAGTCCACGACGGCATCCTTAAGAACATCAAGAGCAGAAGAGATAAGA